CAAAGTCGCCCCACGTCGCCGCATCCTTACGCTGTTTTCGAAGCCTTCCGGATTGGCTTCAATTTTGGAGAGGCAGTGCTCCAGCTCCTTGATGTAGTTCTCGTGTGAATCCCGGTTGGGGGGCATGTTCACCCCCTGGGGCAGCACCAGGGTGCCTGTCCTCTGGCACATCGAGGATGTGCGCCGAAACGCACGCGTGCCCTGGATGGCGCAGCTTCCGGCACAGCCCATGCGTCCGAGGTCAAGTCCGCGTTGGGTTCACTAGACGTCGGCTTGGCTTGTGGTTACTTGAGCCCGAAGCATTCTGCAGAACAGCAAATAGGCCCCAAACTGCAAAAACCTGCGGGGGATGAGAGAGCGCAACTATGAGCATCCACCCTCTGTGCCATGGAGTGCCATATGAGGAGTGCCATGGAAATGGCGCTGAGGAGCGGACCCCTCGGCCAGGTTCTTTGTGGCGTCCCTTCGATGGAGGGTCTTGCTTTTGGGGTAGCTCTGCGTGGTTCAGAGCCTGGTCCGAGTGCTCTTAGTTTTGAAGGTTTTCTTGAAGCGTGATGAGAATATTGTAAACACGCGGGGCAAATGAATACACGAAAAGACCGTATCATTTCAATATTAGTTTTTATAAGTTTACGCGTGACATCTAATAATGAAAATGCGGGCTTTTACTTCGTCCATACGCACATATAACATTATTCACGCGCTCATTTACTTCGCTTGTAGTAGGACTGCGTTGTGCACTGGCGTTCTAGGATTTGTGTGCCCTTTCAGAATGCTCGCGCCAATTCAGGTTCAAGGGCTGGTGACCTATCAGTAAGGGCCTAGGGTGAGGTTCAACTCGAACAGTCGAAGCTCGTTTCAGGTTTCCCCCTTAAGGGGAGTTCGCTCAGGAGGCCTTCGAAGTCCGAAAAGCAAAACATCTTTACCAACTTTGCAGTGCAAGCCCTGAATGGGTCTCAGGGACGTCTCAGCTCAACTTTCATTCCTTAAGCGCCACAACATATCACGTTTAGGGTTCAGGGTTCAGGGTTCAGGGTTTAGGGTTTAGGGTGTAGGGTTTGGGGGTTTAGGGTCACACTGGTATTGGCAACCAGGGGTCTCAATGAATTCGCGGAACTTCTCGAAGTCTCCGAGCCTCTGTGCCCAAGCAAGCACCGGGCAAGCGGAAGATCTTTGGACTGGGGGCTGATGGGGCTGTAAAGTTTCTGATCAGGGGTATGAGAATTAGGGGTTGGGATGTTCCCCCTTATACTAGCAGCCTTTAATAGGGATTATAATTGGGGCTACTATATCCCATATATATATATATATATATATATATATATATATATATATATATATATATATATATATATATATATATATATAGATGTAGATATAGATATATTTGTTTATTTATCTATTCATTATTTATCTTCATTCATTTTCTGAGGATGCTGCTGGGCTTAGAATTTAAACCTCCAGGCTTCAGGCTTCACTAGCCCAACCTTGCAACCCTGACGAATCTGGTGCCTGGCTGGCTCTTGGCAACTGGACCGAAGCCCGCATGTTCTGAGAAGAGAGCCAGTCGAAGTTCTTGCCCGCTTCTTTCTGGCCAGGGTCTCTTCTGAAGATGCTCAATATTCTTAATATTCTGAATCTTCTGAATATTCTTCACATACCTAATATTCTTACTCTTCCTTAATAGGTCTTCATATGCTGAATACTCTTCATTGTCCAAATATTCTGATTCTCGTGGCTCTCCTTCTTGCCCTCCTCCCGGAAGGCGGCCTACCCGCTCTCTCAGCGCGCCGCCACTGCCCTACTTTGCAATTTGGGTGTTTACGAATTTAGGGTTTTGGGTTTAGGGGTTTACTGTCGGGGTTTAGGGTTTAGGGGTTTTGGGTTTAGGGTTTAGGGTTGGGGTTTACGATATTAGGGGTACCTTTACTGGGGTCCTTATGATAAGGGGCCCAAACACCCAGAACTGGGATTCTCAAAGGCAAGGCCCGTCCTTGTATCTGTTGTCCCAGTAATCCTTTCCTGCCTGCGTGCCAAGTGCTGGGCTTAACAGGCCGAGATTCACGATTAGGGCTCAGGGTGTAGGGGCGCTGCAGCCCCAAAGTGTTCTGTGAAACCCAAATGCCTGAGCTTCCCTTGTAGGTTCTTGCTCGAACTTCTGTCTTGGGCTGAGGATGACTTGAAGGGTTCAAAGGTTCATATCACTTAGTTAAGTGGCCTCAGCGCAGGAACAGCAGAGTTGTGCGCACACGCCCCTGCAATCCCATGAACCCCGTGAGCCTTGCGGGGCTTGAATCTGATGCCCACTGGTCTCATCGATGCACCGATGTGGTTGTATAGGCCTACCCTAAACCTTAAACCCTAAACCCGAAACCCTAAACCCTAAACCCTAATAAGGGAATGAGGGTGGCTCCCTAGGGCTCACAGCAAAACGACTGTAGGACCCCTAGGTCTCCCGGCGCCATAATCAAAATCCTCATCGGGCGCCGATGTCGCAGCCTCCGCTGTCCTTGCCGAGTCGCTGAACTGCTGTTGAACGTGCTTGCCCTGCACAGCTCGTGACTTTGGACCGTTCAAAAAACCCTGAAGCCCGAAGATCCAGAGACTCGGCCAGGACTTTGCCACGTAGGGCAGAGACTCGCACCCCCCCGAAAATCCGGAAGCCCCTGCAAGACCAGACGGTCAGCAGCCGCTGAGCATTGAACCAAGCCCAGGCTAAGCCTCCTGAACCCTAAATACCCTAAACCCTGAACCCTAAACCCTAAACCCTAAACCCTAAACCCTAAACCCCTAAGCAAGGCTAAGCCTGAGAAGGTTCAGGATTTCGCGTCAGACCCGCTCCCGAGGCTTGCGGGGCTCGTGCTCGCGCGAGAAAGAATGCTCATGATCCCCAGCCCTAAACCCTACAGGGTTTAGGGCTTAGGGCTTAGGGTTTAGGGTTTAGGGTTTAGGGTGTAGGGTGTAGGGTTTAGGGTTTAGGGTTTACCTTCTCTTTGAGATCCACCGCGCGGCTCAGGCCCCAGCGCGGCCCTCTGGAGCCAAGTGAGCTTCGCCGCTCCCAGCTTCTTCGCGCGGGCACGCGCCCCTCCTCGAAACCACGAGCGTGTTCAAGGTTCAGGGGTTGAAGTTTCGGCTCTCAGGAAAATCTGCACCTCCTTTTGCTGACGGTGCGCGTTTCAAGATGGCGCTTGAATGATCGACATGCCCCAGAAACGAATGGAAAGGGCTTTCGCGCACAAACGACACCCAAACCTACGCATGCGGGGTGCCTACTCGCAGCCTACGCGGATCCTGCCGCATCGCTCCTTCTGCAGGACTACAATCAGGGCACTCATTGTAGCCCTGGTCCCCTAGATCGCCCGCTCAATCTGGCGCTTCAGGGCCCAGGGCTTTCTGGACGATATCGATTTCATGATGCGCTTCGCGACCACAACCTACGTAGATCTACGCAAGCTCCTGCTGCATATCGATGCCTGCGCTATAAGTGCCTGCACGCCCCATAGAAAACATGTTACACCTATACAGCGCTATACAAGAGCTAACAAACAACGCTGCTCAGATGGCAGTTCCAACACGCCCGAAGTGTCACCGTGCAGCGGCTGGCATGCACATTCCGCTATACCCTCCGACAGCAAAGCTTGTATAAGTCTGATAACGCCTTATGGGACCCATTCCTGAGCTTGGGCAGGCTGCGTAGGCGGCCAGCGCTCCTGAGGGGCAGCAAATTTGGTTCTCTAAGTACTAAGAACCAAGGACTTGAAAGTGCTTTGGGCTCCCCCCCTGCAGACCTTTTCTTTTGAGATATGGGATTGCTCCATTTCTGCAAGCTGGTCCTGCAATGGGCCGGACACCACTCGTGCATGTTCGCATCACAAGATGAAGCACTGTCGTGTTTCGCGCTTTGTCTTTCAACTGTCTTCGATATCCTCACATAAGTATCCCCCCAACAATCTGCCAAATCACCGACCATGTCTCAATCAAAGTCCCAGGCCCTCCATCCTGCGCCCTTCCCTGCGCCTGCTAGTGCAGGGATCGCCAGGATCGCGGTGGAGCCTCGAATGTTCAGAGGCTGCCTTTTCGGAGCTACAGCGGGCGCGCGGGCCAAAACTCCGCAGCAGCGTGAATCACCAAGCCTTCCTTGATGGAGATGTTGTGGACTAAGGAAACCCTGCCTCGCAACCACAAGAGGCCTGTCGAATCTAACTTTAGCATCTAAAAAAAATTAGGGTTGTACCCCCGAGACAAAAAGCTCGCCAGCAAGGACACGGCCTCGGCCCATAGCATCACCAGTAGCAGGTTTCGGTGCAACCTCTGCGTGGGCTCTTTAGCAACTCTAGTATCACAGTATCCCGGTCTGCAACTTGAAGGAACATAAAGCTGGGCCCTATCCTACTATACTTCCCCGAACACTGGCAACCAAAGGCCAGATTTGAGGGTCGCGTGTTCAAGGTGCTATCCTGGGTCCTGGATCTGCGGATCAAAGTGGGCTGGGGCCTGGGGGGGCTTTGGTTGGATTTGGGAGTTGGCAGTTTCGCCACAATGTTGCCCAGAGAGACGCTCCGGTTTTCAACAACCCGCAACGATGACGGAACCAGCGTGTGGGCAAGGCATTCCGAAGACAATGTGCGAGGTCCGGCTTTCACCATCCTTGTCGAAGCGGCCGCTGCATTCACGAGCAAAGGGACCAACGAAAGCCCAGCGCCCAACAGCTTCCACTTGCACGTGGCGCACTCCGCGCACTTCGCAATGGAGGAACGCGCCGTGCCTGTGGGATCTTCAGCCCATCGGCACTGATATACAGCTGGCGGACGGCGTGAGATTCAGGAGGAAGTCGCTGCCTTGAGCAAGCAGAATGTGGTAGTAACCCGGCATGACAAGCAAATGGACCACAAACACAACATTAGACATCAACGAAGCTGCTCGAAGCCGGAAGAGAGGGAAACATTAAGGCCAAGACCCAGCTGGAGAAGCCAAGCTGCGCATCAGCTCTCTTGTCATTGCTACCGGCCGCGCTTTAAGCGTTTGAGCTCATTCTTGTTCTGCTGCGCCTGGACACAGGAAACCGCTCACCTGTGACATCATGCAAGGCATGCAATGCGAGCGCCTTGCGCCATATAAGCACGCAGCTGCTGCAAAGAAAGACAACACAGGGGGCAAGTTGACAAAGATGGAAGAGCAGCTCGAAGTCAACATACACTGAAGCCCACGTCTTTGGGCTTAGGATGTTTCGGATGTTTAAGGCCTTGGTGGGGGGTTTACGAAACCCTAGAATAGACCCCCAAATAGTAGGATCCCCTTATAATAAGGACCCCAATAAGATGCCCCGAATTTGGGGCCCCACGAGAGCATGTCGCGCCTGCTGCTGGAAAGACCAGCCCTTCTGAGGCATGTGGCGAGTCTTCATCGCCTTGACACTCTTCTGCATATCCTGGGCCGAGTTGAGAGGCTTTGGATTGGGCATGCCAGTTGAGGTGTTAGGCTTGAGGAATTCGCAGCATCTTTGACACGCAAACGGGCTGCCAATAACCTCCAGCACCGGCAGCTCAGGTACTCAACAAAAAAGGCAAGCCTGAACATCTTAAACCCTGCCCACAGCGCGACCTGGGTCAACTGGTCTTCCATCCCAGACATGAAGGCATCGAGCGGGTCCGGCTCGTGCCTAAACATGCTCGCCAGGAGACATGTTGTGGCTCGGGGACTGCAAGCGGAGGGGGTGGGCACCTGTTTCCGGCTGAAGCGACTTCTACCCCCTTTTCTCATACGATTGCTTCCAGCACAGCCTGTGAGGCTTATGGGTTTTCCGCCGGGCAGACCGCTGAAATCGGAAGCACGGTCCTTGATTTTTGACCTCAACCCCATCTCCGCTTGCGACTTGGATTGAGAGAAGATGTGGTGGCCATCTTCCCAACATGTTGCCGCCATGGCATTATTCGAGAACTTTTGCGTCACACTGTTAGCTCAAGACTTTGTGGCCCTCGCTGGCGCACTCCGCATGCTCTCCTTTCTCTGCCCCGTTCCAGCCACCCCGGCACATGACAATGGCCTCGTTGCACTGTTCTTTGCCTCTCACATGATTCCTGCTCTACCCGCAGAAGTCTCAGCAGTTGCTGTCAAGAACTGTCAGGTGGAACACGACGTACGCCACAGGCGATGACCATGAGTTGAACCCGTTGATAATCCAAGGCGGCGTTGCTGTTGAACTCTCTTCGAAACAGATCAGGTTTCACAGCCCTGCAGCTAGACTCTGACACGAAAGGCGCCACAAGCAGCTTCACGCTGACAGGGAACATGTGTCTCAGTCTCAGTCACCCCTCAGCTCGAAACCAGAACAATCTTTTCGCATGGCTAGACCTGGCTACACCATAAACAAGTATACGGTAGATCCCTCCTCCATGCGGAACCCAGGTGCTGCATGATCGTCCCAACGCTTGCAGAGACCTGCTCAAGCTTGCCGGAAGCTTGGGAGCCGGCTTTTAAAACCTCATGATGGTATCAGGTTGGGATGTTCCCCCTTATACTAAAAGCTCCTTGATAGGGATTGTAGTTCCCCCTATTATGTTAAGGGGGAACAACCCAACTAACTATGGTATCAGATGGCCTAATGTGCACTTCCCCACCTCGCTCCCCCCATTCCAGGCTTGCGTCGCTCTGCGGTCGCCCGGCCTCACGGCTCGCCTAAGCCTAACACCTCAAGGGAAGGAAACCTGCCCAGTGAAATGAACATGTCCAATGACGCCAAATCTCTGGAGCTATTTCATCCCACATGCCCGAATGCGTGAGGTGCTACCCTGACATGGGCACACTGGATGCACTCGTTTGCATTCAACTCACGCAGCCTCTCGTGCTCTGCTTCTGAAAAGCCAGGACAGTTGCGCTCCAGATCAGTAGCGGAGTCGAAGACGCAGCCGCAGTAGAGGCAGTAACCTGGAGCCTAGAGCCATCCATACCCACACCTGAACTACTAAACTTTACACCCTAGGGTTGAACCGTGAATCAGCACCGGTTGAACCCTTCAACGCCCAAACCATGTCACTGACCCCTTGGGTTGCATGGCAGAAACTGCAAAGCTTGCGGATATCAGGCCGTTTGAATTGAACAGTACAGGCACAGGGCAAAGCACAACCTTGGGTTTGGGATCATACCACGTGGATTAACGGATTAACGGTACGTGCCGTCTCTCACCCCACTATAACCACTTGCGACTCTACTTGCCGTTCGAACATACCGAAACTTGAACCGAAAAAGATCCTGGGCGGCAAAGAGCTGAACTCCAAAAGCTTGGCCGAAAAATTCCTAGAGCCCCAGATTAACAAGCGAGCAACCTGCCGTCTCAGATTGTATTTGAAGTGGCTTGGCTGTTTAGTCTTTAAGGGTCTGTGAACATGTCAACAAACTCTTTTCTTCTTCTTCTTCTTCTTCTTCTTCTTCTTCTTCTTCTTCTTCTTCTTCTTCTTCTTCTTCTTCTTCTTCTTCTTCTTCTTCTTCTTCTTCTTCTTCTTCTTCTTCTTCACGCTGGAGGGGCCCGTAGGGGACACTGCCGCCACGGCCAAGCGGGCGTCTGTCCGGTCGGGTCAGTCTGGTGTTCAGACGACACTGTGTTGTCCCTCCAAAAAACCTCAAACTCTCTCTCTCGCTCTCCGTCCAAGCCGCAGTGGCTGCGCCGGAGGTAGCTCAAGAGCTCCGTGAGCCGCAAGGACGCCGCACCTCTCTTTGTTCGGGTTACGCGGCTTCGGCACAAGATCAAGTTCAAAGATGACTTAGTCGCGCAAAATGCTTTGTCTCAAAGGTAGGGGAGAGCAGCAAAACAAGCCGGCTTTTTTGGCCGGCTGGTTGTTTGCGTTCCTGATCGTTGTCGTGGTACGACGAGCACCTCGATCCCTATCGCGCGCCTGACTCGCGGAGCTCCGGCCGATCACCACGCCGCGGCCACAGGGCGCTTGGGCCGCGACCCTTGGTGCGGTCGCAGTGTTCCACAGCACGTTCCTGGGGCTGCGCTTGGGGTGTGGAATGCGTGGGGCGGCTTGCTGTCTCTAGGTCAAACCAACGAGCCCCCTTTTGTTGGAGCCAACTCGAAAACCACGTTCTAGGGCTAAGGGATTGGGGTTTAGGGTGTACAGCTCAAGGTTTAGGGTGCTTGTCCGGCTGATTCCGAGCGGCCGCTTCAGATATCTGCTCCTTGGCAGCTCGACTGGGCAAGAAACATGTCAGTGCCGGGCTTGGAGTTCAAGCTTGATGGGTTTTTGTTTTAAGTCTAGGCTTATGTGACTTACTTTTGCGCTTCGGGCCACGGACACCAGCACGCCTGATTGAGACGCGAATACGTGAAGACAACTCCAGGTCCCGAAAAACAACGACAGCCATCCAATTTCGACCTTCGACTGCTGATTCGTTTCGGGAGAAGCGAGGTTCATTAAACATTGCTTTGCGACCAAAGCACCTTCACCCGCCGGTGAGACTGCTGGGCCTGCGGGGCTCTTGCAACCAGGGAGGGTGCCTCAAGGCCTCAAGGTGTAGCGTTGTCAGGGCTGTGAGGGTTGTGCGGCTGCAAGGAGTTGGGGTTGGGGCTTTTGGGGCTCAGGGGACGGGCTGTCGGGCTCGGGACTTTATTTAGGTTAGTGTAATGGCGTCAGTGGCGTGGGGGTTCCGGGTCACAGAAGTTGAAGAAGGCCTGGTGATTTTGGGGCCGTTCGGGCAAAATGTTCAAGAAGATGGATTTGCCTACAACTTCATGGTTCGGGCAAGGATTCGTATGTGCGGTGTGGGGTACCATCACTGACACCGCAGCTGTTAGCTGTCGTCTTGTAGCCCTGGAAGTGACGCCGCTGATCGCCAACAGACACAGGAACAAAGGGTTGTGCTTCACCGATTTCAACACGTCCGGGACGCAGCAGGCCCTTTAAAGAAACGCTCTATGCGCTGCAAGCCTATGTGGTGGAATCCGAACTCCCTGCCCAAAACACCCAGTGGAGAGCCCTGCGTGCCAGCCTTCATCCCGCCCTCGAACTCCGCCTGGCGCGCCGCCTCACCGGCATCGCGCTGGCGGAAGCGCTTCTCGAACTCCTGTGGAGTTCAAAGGTTGAGGGAACCTGCTGTTGAGGGTTCAGGCAGGATTGGCGAGCTCACCGGGTAGATGAGAAGGAGATGGGGGGTTTGGCGGTCTAGGGGCATGTGTCATATACTTAGGAACTATGGTTCAGGGCCAAGGCTTGATCGACAAAGGTGTTGAGGTACTGCTCAGATACCCAGATGCCATGTATGTCGAAGCACGCACATTGGCAAGCCCTGGCACTCAGGAGCTGTGGATTAAGTATCGAGTTCACACGGGGACTTCTTGCATACACTAGCTGCAAACCGACTTAATCTTTCACCCATCCGAGATCAGCCGAGCGCCGAACACAAAATGTCGCATCATGAAAGACTGAACCGAACTGTATGCCGCATTCACTCCCATGAGCCAGAACCCAACTCGATCCTCCCAAGTGGTGTCCCACCATGGTGCCCGCACATCTTTGGCATCCTGCAAGGTAGTACGAGGGTTGGGGCATACCGCACTGCGCTCAAGAGTTGAGACACGAGGTTTCAGGACATCATATGATATCACAGACGTGGCAAGCGGGTGGTGGGCAACTAGTCGACCCAGGGAGAAGAGCGCTTGCATGTTTTTAGGGGTGGCTATGGATGGTGTCATTTATGTGGAAAGCAGGGAGGTGAAACACTTGAATTTCTGAGTCCTTGATTACAAAGCGAATTACGAACTGGAGCGTGACCTCAACAAGTTGGTAGATCAAGCGGCTTCACCTTTCTCCAACCTCAAACACCAACGAAGACCCCCAATTCAGTTTCAAAAGGGCATTCTTGGCCACAAGGGTTTGCAGGTTGCGGCCCTTCATACGCTACAGCACAAGTGAGCTGTTCAGCTTCAACGCGAAAACTTCTACAGGATGCAGTTGCAGTGAAGCATCAAGGGTCTTCCTGTCAACCCCAAAGCCAAAACCCGTCCTCCTTCGCGCGCTGCCGCTTTGCCGGGCGCTGGCCTTTCTCCGCCAGAGCCTGGCGCTGTCCGGCCTCCGTGCAGAGCACCTTGCACAGATGCAGCGCAAAGGGTCGGAGGTATAATGCGGGACTTTGAGACGGCAAGAATTAAGAGGATGGGTGTCTGTTCATGGGCTTCTGAGCTGTTGCGCAGGAAGTTCCCCTGCGGAGGGGTTGAGCACGGTTGCGCCTTTGAAGCTTAGGGCACCAGGCTGGGGAAACCCTGGATCATGAATCCCAATGCCAAGTCCCTCCCAAAACTTCTCCCTGCATCCTGAACTCCGCGACTCCGCACCACCCTAAACCCTAAACCCTCAACCCTCAACCCTAAACCCTGAACACCCTGGTGCCTCAAAGGCTTCGCTGAGCTTCTGGAAGGCCTCCTTGGCCTGGTCAACGCGTAGCACAGCAGCCGGGAAGATGTCTTCGGGGTAGGCAAGCATTGAACCTTTTGAAGCTCCATCTCAGGTCAACCCTAAACTCTCTCTTTCATATAATAATTTAAACCTTAATGGGGAACGTGGCCATTGGCAAAAAAACCGTGGCCATTGGCAAAAAAGCCGTGGCCATTGGCAAAAAAGCCGTGGCCATTGGCAAATTCGCCAATGGCCACGGGAAAGTTGCCAATGGCCACGGCTTTTTTGCCAATGGCCACCAATGTCATTAAGGTTGGTCGCCAAAATGGGTTTTTCAAACCCAATTCGCACAAAATGCCCCCCAACCTTAATGGGGAACGTGGCCATTGGCAAAAAAGCCGTGGCCATTGGCAACTTTTCGGGCTTTTTGCCAATGGCCACGGCTTTTTTGCCAATGGCCACGTTCCCCATTAAGGTTGGGGCCCAACCTTAATGGGGAACGTGGCCATTGGCAAAAAAGCCGTGGCCATTGGCAAGTGGCATTTGCCAATGGCCACGGCTTTTTTGCCAATGGCCACGGCTTTTTTGCCAATGGCCACGGCTTTTCTGCCAATGGCCACGGCTTTTTTTGCCAATGGCCACGGCTTTTTCCCCCCCCCCCCCCCCCCCCGCACCCCCCCACCCCCCCCCCCACCCCCCCCCCCCCCCCCACCCCCACCCCCCCCCCCCACTCCCTTCCCAACCCCCCCCCCTCTACACCCCCCCCCATGCCCCCCCTTCCCTCTTCTGGCCCAGACCCCCATTCTGGGCTTGAAAAGCTGGGTCTGGGCCAGATCAAGATGAAGGCTTTGCGGGGCCGGGCAACGCGGCAGCCCCTTCTTTCTCATCTTGGGTGGTCCGAGGGTGGGGTGGGGAAAATGCAACTTCCGGAGCCCCATTCTGGGGTTGGAGCACGAAGGGAGGGGACATACGACAAACCTCTAAAATAAACCCGTACATTTCTCAATGTTTTGGGATTCTCTGCAAGCAGAAGAAAAGGGACATACGACAAAGCCGACGAGCACGAAGGGAGGGGACATACGACAAACCTCTGAAAATAAAACTTCAGTTTCTTAATTCTTGGGGTTCTCTGCAAGCAGACAAAGAGGGACATACGACAAAGCCGACGAGCACGAAGGTGGCGACATACGACAAAATCTAAGAGCACGAAGGGAGGGGACGTACGACAAACCTGCAGACCTCTCATCAAACCCTACGAGCATGAAGGGAGGGACATGCGATAAACTCTACGAGCACGAAGAGAGGGGACATACGACAAACCTCTAGGCCTCTCATCAAACCCTACGAGCAGGAGCCAACATGAGGCGAGGTCACCGGGGCACTAATTGGAAAGCAACCATGTGGAAGCCAGGCAGCTTAAAGTGTGCCAAACACAACCAACAAGACGGCCAAAAATAGGCAGGGTCACCGGGGAAAACGAACACGAGCAAAGTGAATATGAGCAGAAAGAGAACGAATACGAGCAGACTGACGTCGAGCAGAGAGAGAACGAATACGAGCAGAATGAATACGAGCAGAAAGAGAATGAGTACGAGCAGACTCAGTACGAGCAGAAAGACAGCGAAAACGAGCGGACTGAAATCGAGCAGAGAGAGAACGAATACGTGCAGAAAAAGCACGAATACGAGCAGAAAGAGAACGAACACGAGCAAAATGAATATGAGCAGAAAGAGAACGAATACGAGCAGAATGATTACGAGCAGAGAGAGAACGAAGACGAGCAGACTGAAATCGAGCAGAGAGAGAGAACGAATACGAACAGAATGAATACGAGAAGAAAAACAACGAAAACGAGCGGACTGAAATCGAGCAGAGAGAGAACGAATACGAGCAGAATGAATACGAGCAGAACGAGAACGAACACGAGACGAGCAGATCAGAAAAAGAACGAATACGAGCAGAATGAAAACGAGCAGAAAGAAACGCATACGAGCAGAATGGAAACCAAGCAGAATGACAAAGAACACGAGCAGAATGAATAAATGAGGTTGGAGGACAGGGCTTGCTGAGGAAAATGTGAACTTTATATTTCTTAATGTTTTGGGATTCTCTGGGTGGGTGGGTTTTTTTCTAGAGTCCAGACAGCGGCTCTACTAGAGATTGCTCGACCCAGAGCTGCTGAACCCTAAACCCTAAACCCTAAACCCTAAACCCGTATTTCTTTTGATTTTCCCCCCTGGATCTAGGGATGCAGTTGCAACTCTGGCATCTGGCCTGCGGGTGCGGACACTTGTCGGGATGCACAGCCAAGGCCAACCTCGCGAAGCGGGGGGCTGGGATGAAATCGATTTAGACATTGAAGTAAGTTGAGGCAGGCAATTCTTCAAAAGTACTTTTTGGGAACTTGAGTGGCCATGACAGCTTGCATTTCACGACGAGAGGGTATGCGGCTGGCTTGTCGTAAGGCTCGAAGCTGGGCCGCCAGTTTTCTTGCAAGACCCCTCTGCCCAGCACCCTAAGCCCATCCCTGCCCTGCACCCTAAACCCTAAACCCTAAACCCTAAACCCTAAACCCTAAACCCTAAACCCTAAACCCGAAACCCTAAACCCATCTCTGCCCTGCCTGCGGTACTGCTTCCTGAGGCTGCCAGCATCCACGTTGGCCTGGTGGACGGGAGGGGCCCGGAGAAACCCGAGGCTGTGTGCCAGGAAGGACTGTAGTGGTTGGCCTCATTTTTGAAGCGTTACTTGCTACTATTCCTCGATCCCAAGCCACACTCCTGGAATTTCTGTCTCTGGCACTGGCACTTGTGCGGAAAGTACACGGGAGCAAGAGCGAGTCGGGCAAAAACACACACACACACACACACAAAAGCATGATTGGGCAAGCAGGCAAGCCGACAACTTGGTTACGAGTAACAGAACCCACACCCTGATCAACCAGAGTGATGCCAGACCCTCAGACTTCCGAAGGACCCTAATCAAACGGCACAAGCTTGCGTACCAGCTCTAAGTCTCTATGCTAAGCCTCAAAAACAAAGCCGCGCCTAATGCACACCTTACTTGATGTCAACAAGGCTACCCCCACTTCCTACACCCTGATCCAAGAGACCTCCGGCAGGTCCAAGGTGGCGAAGTGGCCCCGGGAGCCGAGGATGCGCTCGGCCGCCTTTCAGGAGGCTTTTAATTTTGTGTTTAGGGTGAGGGGCTTGGGGGGGGGGGGATGCTGAGGGGTTGATGGTTCAGGCTCGAATCCCTAGATCCTGTTCCTCAGGCACCGCAGCAACACCAACTACATCTGCTACATTTTTTAGAGCCTGAAGCCGGAGCCGAACCTGCAGTAGCCACAGACCCTGTGCCCGTTTGCATTCCCCGAATCCCACCTGAACAGGATCGGCTGGAACCTCCCCGGCCATGGCGGCGAATGGGAGAAAGCAACAAAGGACAGGCCTGAAGATTGAAGAAGTACAGGGGAGAGACTTAGGGCTTCTAAGGCGCTTCGGAGTCCCGGCTGCGGACCGCACTATCTCACCATCATGTAAGATTGAGGATTCGGGAAGGGTCGGTCTCCGATCTGCACATCTGCTGCTTTCGGACGCTGCTGGCATCTTTCAACTGGCCTGGCTCAGCCAAGGCCACATGCACATCAAACGAAACCGCGCCTGCTTCTACGTCCGGCATGCATACTGAAACACCACCAAAGCATCCTGCAACACCCGAGAGCCCAATCCTTAGCGCCCCGACCCCCAAACTCGAAATCCCCAGGAAATTGAGCTTCGAACTGCCAAACACGAAACCCCACGTATCCCCACGTCTTGAAGCCGGTGGCCTGAATCTGCGCCCTGAGAGCAAGCGGACACCAAGGGCACCCTGCCCTCGCCCTGGAGCTGAAGAAAAAAGAGGGGAGGAGGGGAGCCCTGTTAAGATGACACCGGGCACTGAAGAGCTGAGGAGTTTTGGGTTCAGGGCTGCAGCGCGGAGCTCTGGGTTGAGGATGCAAGGTGTTTAAGCCTGTTTTTGGGCGTGGAGGCGCCGGTTTATGTGCTTTTTGGTATTGTAGAGAGGCCTCTTTGGCCTTGCATCAGAAGAACCAAGGGCTATCCCCTAAAACATGCAATCCTGACTCAAACCTCAAGGTTGCATTAAGCCCGCAGATCACCCTGCATGGCCCGAGGTCCCAGCAAAGCAGCGGACATCACTGGCTGGGCCATGGCAGACGCAGGGATTGGATGAGGGAAAAGCGGAGGCTACTTGCGATGTGGGAGTCGAGGCTCACGGTATGGCTTTGGACAAACTACTGGGGTCTAGGCTTCACATGCTTCAGGAGCCTGGCTGTGCACGTGTATCATTTCTGTCGCTGCAGGGGCTGTGGCCGAAGCACGTCCAAACTTCCTAGGGCAGACGCCACCAGAGGCCTGCAAGCAGTGCCTGCATCGCTCAGTCCGTTTTATCCTTCTCGAAAGCTGGCACATGGAATATGCCAGGAAAGGCGTGAGAAGCGAACCTACAACGCTGCGCGCACGGGAGGGCGTAGATCAGAGCCTTAATCCCTTGCAAAGCCGTAAAGTGCTAAGCCTCAAACTGATCTAAGCCAAAGCGGAGATCTGCATGCTTGAGAGTGCGAGTGAGGGGCCAGCAGCAGGCATGCACGCGGAGAGACATCTACAGGGCCTGGGTCTTGAGGTCCAAGATGACACGTGAGAAAACCCCCATGCAGATCTTACATCTCCCAGTTGATGCTCCCCTTCCGGACCCGGTGAAAGATGCTCGCGCGATTCCGCGCCATCTCTGCCGGGAACCAGGCTCCCGGTGGCACCTCTGGGCAGGAAAAGTGTTGGCCCAAGGTTTTCTGAAGCTGCTTTTTACCAAAGCTCTCGCGTCTTGGAGTGACCCTACTTGAAAACGGGATTGAGCCTTGTCCTGCAGGACCTCAAGGCAAAAGGCGGCAGTGGCCAGCCCAACACAGTCCTGACAGCCCCACTTCTCAGATGTTCGCCTCTGCTTCTGCCGCGAAGCGTTTCTCCCTGATTCCCCTAGACAAAATCCCCTCCTCAAGGAACCCAAGATGCATGCCACCCCCTTCCCACGTTCTCAGGTTTTGCCAATGAGAACTAGGGCCCTCGGCTTGACCTACTCGTGGGGGGGGCAGGGGTCGGCAGCGGGCTCCTCTGTGACCGTTTGCGTAGCGTCTCGGTTGGCATCGTTAAACACAAGTCTGCATTGAGGACTGGAGGTTGACTGTGTAGTGGGGCGAGATTCTGGTAGCTCATGCGTGCGTTGCTGCTAGGAAAAAGCAACACGGCTTCCGGGTAAACCATAAGGTCCGAAACTCGCTCCTCCAAGTCCGGGTGCGTGATGCGAAGCCTAAGCGGATCACGGCTAGGGGCGCACCAAATATGGACCCACGGATCACGGATTGAAAGTTAAGGCAAGGAGAACACTGTCATAGACTGTAATCCTTTCAGCGACACAGCCCGCAAACCTATGAACGCACGGCCGAGAATAGCGTTACAGATGCTGCCAGAACACTGAAAGCACTAGAACGTTGAACTAACAAGCAGGTCAACCCAAACTCAAACTCATACTCGTAACGGCGTAAATTGCTTCTCAAGCCTAGAGGCGTCACCACTTCGCCGCTGGAGCTTCGAGCATCCACGCGCATAGCGTTGGTGGCCCCCACAAGTCTGGCAGGGGTCTGCGGAAAGAGTTTTTGGGTGCAACTCAAAACCACACACCTGGGCTTGGGGCTTCAGGGTGTCGCGTCGATTGGCCATCCGACGTGGCTTCTCAACTGAAGCGCGAACCCCTGTTACCTTGTCAACCTTGCTTCAGTTGGCACCCGCACCATGGCTGCAAGCCGTTCGGATTGGCTTGTGCTGCACTTTGTGCTCGGTCCGTGAGGATTGGAGAGTGCTTCGGTGGCACCGAAAACTTGTCCAGACCCTTGATACCGAAAGCCCACTTGGAGGTTCATCGTACTTATTAACCCAGGAGCAACTGCACTTACAACCCGATTATAACCAGAATAATGAGGGCACTTCAGGGGCTTATCAGTGGGTTATATGTTATAAGTACAGTGAAAAACACTTGATAAAAAGGCACCATGAACCTCCAAGCATAAGCCTGTACAAGATCCCGCAGCCTGTCGACGGCCGAGATGATGGGCATCGAGAAGTTGGCCAGAGCTTGCATGAGGCCGCGATTCCTGCGCCGAATGTTGCCCCAAACCCTCAAACCCCAAACATCCCCCAAGACTCGAAGGTGGACTGGTCTTAGGGTTTAGGGTTTAGGGCTTAGGGTTTAGGGTTTAGGGTTTCGGGTTTAGGGTTTAGGGCTTAGGGCTTAGGGTTTAGGGTTTAGGGTTTAGGGTTTAGGGTTGAGGGTTTAGGGTTTCGGGTTTAGGGTTAGGGCCCTTGTAGCCCACAGCCCTTGAGGGCCCGATCTATGCGGCCTGGTCAAAACAGACTACGCCTGAACCCTCTGCTAGATTCCCGATCCCAAAGCACAGAGGTTGACCCTAAACCCTTGATTTTCGCAACACCGGCGCCCAAAAATCCGGGAGCCCAACAGGCCGTGAGCCACTCAACCATCCAGCCCCACCAAAACCTCGAGACTGAATCTCTTGCAACCCCAATCGGCGCTAGCGGCCTGAAGGGCCGTGAACTCAAGCCCATAACTGCCCCATGTCGCACTCCCTGCATGATTGAAAGATGTTTGGCCCCTGCGCTCCCGAGAACTGACTTCGGAAGGAAGCGGGCAGCGCCTTGGCCAGGGGGGTTTGCGTTCCAGGGGTTTGGGTCTGGTTCGGCTTGCTTTGGTACGGCATGCCACTGTTAGAGATGGGTGGGACAAGGACTTCATCATGCTGAGTTTAGATAAACTCAGGCCCAGAAGCCCTCGCCTAGGCCATCGCTGCAGGGCCATTAGCACCCATGCCCCAAACGGCTTGCAGCCGTACGTCATGTCGGCGCTCAAGAGCTTCTTGGGACACTCTGAGGTCGGGCTTCGGTGGGGATGAGAGCCTAGTGAGGGCAGGCACAAAAAAGTCTCTTGAGACAGAGCCAGGCGGCCGAACATCAGGTTCCAAACGTCCGGCGCGGTGCCGAAGCTGGAGCTGATGTTGGGGATGCCCAGGCAGCGGTGGCAGGTGTAAACCTTCGCAAAGCAAAAACAAGCACCAAAAAAACAACATAACACCCTGAACCCTAAACCCTTAACCCTAAACCCTAAACCCTAAACCCCCGCAGCTTCCACACTTCGAAGTGCCCTCCTTCTTCGGCTTAAGCCCCCTCTTCTTTTCTCTTAGCAGGGAATGGGGGAATTGGGGTCCTTTGTCATCCCTTGCAGGGTATAAAAACAGGGCCCGCATTCCCTCATTCCCGACTAGTGGTCAAGCTCCAGGAGACCTTTAAAGGGTGGGGGGGGTGTGCCACTTGGACAGGCAGGCCTCCGGCTCATCCAGGAGGTGGACGTACTGCTTTCCCACCTGCGTTGCTTAGGTTTGCCGGCGTTGCTTCTACCTTCCCGAAAACGTTCGAGATAAACTGGCGTGAACAATTCTCATAGCCCTGTCCGCGCAGAACTAAATCACAGCACACATGTAGCTTCTTGACAAACCGGGTGTACATGAAACAGCTGCTGGCCAAGAGGCCACGAGCTGCCGAGGGTTTCGGTTGCAGACTTTAGATGCAGGGTTCTAGGGCTTCTCCAAATAGCCGTTCGGGATCTGAGGGTGTGGCTTCATGCGTTTGCCTCTCTGTATAGCTCCTACAAGGCCCAACGAAGCTGCGCAGAGGCACTTCACGGCCGAAGTCCACGAGCCGCCGGTTCCCCCAAGGCTCCACACGGACTTCACAGCCATCCTGGCAGAGATAAACTCACAAACGGGTGGCTGTCCAGATTGTGGTCCCTTTTTGGAGTACCCGGATAGGTGCCGGAAATTTTGACAACCACCACAATGTGTTTCTTCCATAGTCTGCAGGCTCAAGGCGTATGGCAACGCAAGTCGGGGGCTCTGCGTGATCTCGGCTTGGGGGTATCGACGTCATGGTCTTACGTGCACTTGGTATGCCGAAATTTGGCGCGCCTCAGAGTAGGCCTCAAACCTCAGCATACTTCAGCCAACCCTCATGTGCAAGAAAACCCTAAACCCTAAATTTTAAGCCCTAAACCCTAAACCCCCCAAGCTATACTACCAACCCCAACACTCACAGAACCTCACAGAAGCATTCGGACCTGGAAGTTGACTGGCGGCTCTGCCAGAAGAAGAAAGGTGGCGCTCACGATGGTCGGGCCCGCCCCGCCGGTGCCCGCAGTGTAGAAGCACATCTCGACATCCTCGCTCTAAGGCTCGGCCGGACTTACAAGCTTTCAAAAAAGTTGGGGGTGGGTTCGAACTAAGGCTTGAGGCTTAGGATGTCACGTTACACACCTGACACGACTCGAGCTCTTGCAAGGAGCTGAAGACATACGTTTACAGCTCTCGTCATTGGCCTCTTCGTTGGCCACCCACCAATGACAAGAGGGATGGCCCCCTGCTCTCAAAATTGTATGTACCTTCATGTGACTCATGCCCTGCACGATGTCCAGCTGTTTCCACGCACACACACACACACATCCCTTCAGCACATATTTACATGACCCTGCAGCCTCTAAAGGGGGCAGAGTTTGAAGCTGGGGCAGGCGTCTGCTTTCGGGCTGGGAATGGGGATGTTCACATTGAAGGCCAGCAGCGGCTGCAGATCTAAGTCCCAGCTCCTACTCAAACTTTCCTATTCATTCATACAAACTTTCCTGTGCTCCAAAAGCCTCTAAATGGGGGAACTCCCAAACCCCCCAAGCCAGCCTCCACATCGCCACTGAGTCGTTCGACTGCCTCGCAAACCATCAGCGCCGAGACCTCACGCTTCCGAGATCGGCTCTTGCGGTTGCAGCGGCCCGGGAGCTAATGTAGGGGCCTTAATGGTTACAATGGGGTTTTGGGGGGGCTCATTGCAGCATATCTTTCTAGCCTATATAGGGCACCATAAGGGAGCACGAGTAGTAATTCTTCCGACCCCTCCAGCCTATAGTAGGGGGTTTCGAGTTTGCTGAGACCAGGCGGGTTGGGGGCCTCTCGTGACAACAAAGCGGCAAGTGCCCAGCAGCCAGAAGTTATACTCGCAACCAGTACGACTATGACAATAGCAAGCAGCACAGTGATGGTGGTAAAAGTAATGCAGATCTGCAGTGGGGCCGATATGGAAGGAGAGCTCCGGGGGGCGAAGCCCCGAGTTGCCAATGAAAGGTTCGGGATGCGCCCAAGTCTGGTTGGCTGTGGACTCAGAACTTAGGCTTTAGGGTTCGAGGGGCATTTGCATTTGGATTCTAGACCACCGGGCCAAGGAGCTCCCGGCCAAATGCCAGCAGATACGATCGCGGGGACTTTGGCTTCCTCCAAGTCGGGGGCCAGCCTCGGTTTTCGCATCTGGCTTCTCTGGCTGCACTTCAACACTGAAGCCTTCCACAAGCCCCAACAACCTCACATAGGATGTAGGGGTGTTGCAGCTTCAGGGCTACGGCGGGCGAGGGGGAACCTTTAACCCTAAACCCGAGCCCTAAACCCTAAACTCTAAACCCTAAATCCTAGAGATCCCTCTCAAAAGGCATCGAGGCCATCTGTTAGTCAGCCGAAGCAGCTCCTTGGCAGCTTTACAGAGGTCGGTGTCATCGCAGACATCTACATAAGGCGTCCCACACCTCACCGCCTCGCAGGGGTCTGAAAGGCGACTTTAGGGTTTAGGGTTTAGGGTTTAGGGTTTAGGGTTTAGGGTTTAGGGTTTAGGGTTTAGGGTTTAGGGTTTAGGGTTTAGGGTTTAGGGTTTGGGGTTTGGGGTTTGGGGTTTGGGGTTTGAGCCTGGACTTGAAGTCTACGAATCATGGCTTGTTTATGGTTTAGGCGGTAGGGTGTCATTTCATTTCCAGCCATCCTAGAGAGGCACCAACTTGCTAGAACCGAAACGACCTTTGACCTGCCTTGAAAGTCGATACGAGGAATAAGTGTAAGAAGTTGCAAAACGAAGAACCGGGAGAACGTTGACAACAGACTAGGACAACTACTGAGAACCAAAAAGAGAGACACCCAGGCAAACAAAGAGAAATGCACGTGCTGTGCTGTTACTTGCGGTTTCCGTCGGTGTCCTAGCGGGCATCATACTTGGTGCTGTGTCTTGGCGTTCCTCCTTCTTTCGACCTGAGTTGCATTTCTGGCTTTCCCTGTTGTCGACCTACCTGCAGCCCCAAACGCACAACATTCAATGAGAGCCGACAAATCGACTCCAGCACAAGATGAAAAAGCTCCACTTGTGAAAGCTAGTACGTGAGCAACCCTAAACCCTAAACCCTAAACCCTAAACCCTAAACCCTAAACCCTAAACCCTAAACCCTAAACCCTAAACCCTAAACCCTAAACCCTAAACCCTAAACCCTAAACCCTACCCTAAACCCTAAACCCTAACCCTAAACCCTAAACCCTAAACCCCCACTCTTCCTCCTCCAGAAGCAGAGGCCGTTGGATGCCCTGGAAGGGCCCGGCCGTATGTACCACCAGGGCCTGGGCCATGCCAAGAGGCTTGAGGGTTCGGGGCCTTAGGGCCTTGGGGGCTTAGGGCCGTAGGGTTTAGGGTTTAGGGTTGTAGGGTTGTAGGGTTTAGGGTTTAGGGTTTAGGGTTTAGGGTTTAGGGTTTAGGGTTTAGGGTTTAGGGTTTAGGGTTTAGGGTTTAGGGTTTAGGGTTTAGGGTTTAGGGTTTAGGGTTTAGTGTTCAAAGTTCTGCACAAGCCATCGTATAGTCAGGGCGACACATTAACCAACCTGGACGAAACTGGCCTTTTGCAAGCTCTAACGGCACGGAGGTAAACCAAATGTCCAGGTGTCGACATTTCTGCACAGCCGGACAAACCATGATTTCGGGGGGCTTACATAGAACTTATGCCTTTGGCTTGCAACTCTGTTTGATGTGCGGTCACGTAGGCAACGCAAGAATATGCAACATCACCCAACACCAAAGCTTGGCTGCTGAAAGCCACAAGGTCAACGCAGTGGTGGCAAACAAGAAAAGCCACAAAGACCTGCATAAAGCTTGGATGCTGTACAAACATGTATTTTGTATGCGTCAGGCTTGTTTGCCGGACTTTCCGATGGCCGCGCAACTCTGTTGCGGAATGGATGAAAGAAGACACACGCGGCTGAACAGCTGAGCGTCCCAGTCTTTGTTGGCCATCGCAGCTCGAATTGAGTCACGGCTGGTGTGATCGATCTCGACCTGACCATGAGGATTCGGCTCCATTGCCGAAGGGACTGGACACTCGCAAGCGGGACTCTTGGCAGTCTTGTGGAAGTTGCATAGGGGGGGGGGGGGGGGGGGAGTGAGATTTTCAAAGGAATACGGAAAGGTCTGACTCGAAGGTTTAGTCTTGGGCAGCCTTCGCACCTTCGCAAAACGCAACCTCCTAGCGGCACAAAGATGGGCATTTTGCTTCACTCACTAAAGTCGCACGGCTTATAGCCAGCTTCGGCAACTTCGAAACATGGGGAACTGTGGCTTAGGAAACTTACCGGCTAGCCCGGCCTGTGACTACCAAGGGCCCTACTCGTAGGATGCCCTCCAATCTGCTTCCTTAGATAGCAAGTTCCGATCAATGCCTCGGAAGTGCAAACCTCAAGCGTGAAGATGCGACCTTGACTCCAACTTAGTTGCTCCCCTTCACACTATCAGTCCTTCATAGGGATTCCAGTAGGGGGTACGACCATCCCTATTCAGGACTGTTAGTTTCGGGGCGGGTGGTAACATCCCAACCCATAACCCCAAAATATTCCAAAACCCAAGGCCTAGGCTTGGCACCCAGGGCACGAAATGCGGCACGGCGCCACAGTCCTTCGCCCATCGCTGGGCGAACTGCGCGTAATTTTCGCGGCTTCGCCCGGCCACCGACAGCTCCAAGTCCTCCATAAGGATGTCAAGAAGTCTACGGTGTTTTCACCTACTTATGTTCAACCTGCTTGTTTTTTGATGATGATGATGATGATGATGATGATGATGATGATGATGATGATGATGATGATGATGCTGATGATGGTGAAGTCTGGTGCAGAGCAGCCGAATCACGCCTCCTAGGTTGCAGCGTTCCTAGGACTCATCGCAGTCTCCTTCGTGCCATTCGTGCCAGTGCTCGCACAGACGCGACCAGGACTACGATGCTGCGAAGCAGGCGCCTCCAGACCCTCCTCATCTGCCAGCTTCCGGAGCCACCGGGCAGTGCTTCCGCCCACGCGTCCTGTGCCGCCAACCTCGGCCCATCTTTCAGCCGGAACCCTCCATTGACTCAACTTTCAGCCGGAACCCTCTAATGACTCAATGAAGATCCAACGCCCCCCTTGCAAGGTGCGACTTTTCATGTTCAGCATTTGTGGGGGGGCTGAGAATCCTTGGGGCTGTAGCTCGGAGCCCATCAGGGATCCAAGGAACCCTGACTTCTGAGCTTGAAGCCCTGAACCGCGACCCACACCCAAACGCCTTGTGCACCCATCCTTTCTCCGAACCGCTTCCTTACACTATTATTAACCACTAGTCATTAACTACTACTAATTATGAACTACTAATTATTAACTACTATTTATTAAGTACTAATTATGAACTACTAATTATGAACTACTAATTGTTAACTACAAATTATTAACTACCAACGGTAGTTAAGGTTTTCAAAAGAGCACAGGCCAGCACTGCCCAGGCACGACAAGGGCCGAGAACGCACACCGGCTCACTGCAGGCTCGCGCGTCCTCGGGGGGGGGGGGGGGGGGGGGGGGTTAGGGTTTAGGGTTTAGGGTTTGGGGTTTGGGGTTTATTAGGGTTTAGGGTTTAGGGTTTAGGGTTTAGGGTTTAGGGATGGCTTCGTGAGGAAGAAGGTTGCCCGAAGCACAGCTTTGGGGGCCCACGTGTTCCCAAAACCTTTGCTCGTTCTTCAAGCCACTTCGTATCCATGTGGGGGGACATCTCTCTACAGCTGGGCTTCCACTTTCTGGCCTTGGGTGATTGCGGGCAGCTTAGAGTTGAGTGAAGATGTTCCGTCAAAGGCTTCCTGGGTTCACGGCTGTGGGTCCTAAAGTGCGACTACAACGTCTCAATCCTACGCCCATGTAGACCGAAAAGAGAGAATAACACTGACTCAAGGAGTAAAACATGCCCTATCATCCCCGCTGCAAGCCTTTGCATGCCAACTGCCGCGGTGACTTGGAACTTGGGTTCACTTCGGATGTTTTTTCGCCATGACACGTGCGAACACTGGGTTTAGCAAAAGCTGCGACAGCCCGTGCTCCTAAGAATCAAAGACTGCCAAAGCGAAACGATCTCCTCTCAAGTCATCTTCTTTTACTCAAAGAGCTCCTAAGACTTGATCTGGTCCTCAGATCCTAACTGGACACTGCAAGTCCTCCCCGCAGCAGCAACATTCTCATCACCCCCACCGTGCTGAGTAGAACTTCAGAACGAAGACGAAGCCCTGAGTCCCGACCTCCTCGCCAGGAGCCCGATACCCAGAGCTGCCAGCAGCGCGGGCTGCAGAGTAGCTTCCGCGACACCAAGGTCTGCAGAGTTTCTGGAGCCGGGCTTGGGGCTCCGTGGGCTCCGTGGGCTCCATGCGCTCCGCGGGCTCCCCGGGCTCCCCGGGCTCCCCGGGCTCCCCGGGCTCCGCAGGCACGGGAGTGCGAGGAGCTGCGGGCTCGTGGGGAACATGGCTTCACTGGGCGGGGGTGATGGGGTCGGGGGCCTGAGGGGCGGGAATGTGGTTTTAGGTCTTGTCCTTACCTGAATTCTTTGGAGAAGAGGGAGTTGGGAGATTTTAATGTTGAATTAGCTGTCAGGGCTTGAGGCTTGCTGTCCGCGCCCCCGACATTCTGGTCGTGAAGACTCAGGGCATCTCAGGACTGATGGTTCACGCATGGTCACACATGTTCGCAAGCCAGGCAAGTGCCCGCGAATCAAGATTTGCAAATTCCTGAAAACGTGAAGCAACAGTAGCGTGTGTGGTGAAGGTGCTGCATGGCACACGCATGATCGTGACACTCGCAGCATCAGCCACCTTTTCGGACCTCTTTTGCCCACCGCCTTAGGTGGCTTCTACTGCAGTGCGTGCATGCAGGCTCCCTCCGGCAAAATTAAAACCTCCTAGTTGGACCGACAATCGATGAAGGCACTGGGTGTACCAAGATGAAAGCAATCTTCTAAACCGATGGCAGCAAAATGATTGCAACAATCCCACCAGTGTCAAAGATCATGGCAGGACTAGCCTTCAACAACAGCCGCTACCCGGTAGCCAGAAACTCCAGGTCCCAGTGCAGTACCCTTGGTACCCCCCAAAAGCTCAACACCAAGCAGCCTAAGCCATCCTCAACCCCTCTTACACACGCCTTGGAAGAACGCAATGACACAACCCCTAAACCCTAAACGCTAAACCCTCCACCCTAAACCCTGAACCCTAAACGAGACTTCAAAGCGAGTGACTCAGTTTTGGGTGTCGGGGAGCCTGCCATGTGCCATTCTCCCGGCACGACCTCGAGTGTGAAACCTGCCGGCATCTTCAGCCAGCATCTACGCGCATGTGCCTTTGCGTCACAAGGAGCAACAACGTGCTTGTCTGATAGGGCGTCTCTCCTCTTTGCTCTTTACTGGTGAAGGTGCAACGATATAGCAGCCTGAGGATGTTATCAGAAAAATCCGTCAGCTATGCCCCATGTCCTTAGACCTACACAGCCAGCATGAATGGAACAAGCCATCCACTTCATTGCTTTTGTCCAAGGGCCGGGGCCACGTCAGAACATGTCAGTTTGGCTGGCTGATGTCCACCTTGCAAGGATGCTGGGGTTCAGGGTTCAGGGTTCAGGGTTCAGGGTTCAGGGTTTAGGGTTTAGGGTTTAGGGTTTAGGGTTTAGGGTTTAGGGTTTCGGGGGCTGCGGATAATGCTTCGAAGGCATACCGCAGAATGCAGGAGCTTCTTGAGATCTTGCCTGGACTGAGGCTTAGCAACACATGCTCCTTTCTATTCCCCACCTTGCTTGCAGCAACTGGATCAAGGATGCTTCAAGTGTGAAGCAACGATAGAATAATGAACACAAAGCTCCGCACTTCTTCCAGGTTACCGCCCCTTGAATCCCCACCCAGCCCTCCCCTCAACCCCTCCAAACGATTTCAACCCCAAAACGACCCACCATCACACCAGAGCGGACTTCAAACCATGAGGGGTTAATGGCTTAGGGTTTGGGATATCTATAGGGGAGGCGTAGGGTTGAGGGTCAAGTCCAGGATTCGAGTTTAGGGTCCTGGGCTTGGTTTAGGGCTCAAGAGGGTTGAGGCCTACGAAGGATTAGAGTTGAACCCATAAGATTCTAGGCTGATAGGTTCATCGGCCCTTTTGCTTACAGCTTGACAGGTTAAGCGTGTTGCAGCTTCAGGGTTCAGGGTGCAGGGTGGGATAGGGCTTCTGGAAGGCCTTGGAAACGAGGCGACAATTTGGCAGCTTAGCCCGTGGCCTTCTACAGACCGGGTTGGGAGTGTGAATCTTACGACTTGCTTTTGGGAAGGGTGTTCAAGGCCTTGCCAGAGGCCATGCTCACTGTTGCAGCGGCTCGGCTTCATGACAATCTCAACTACAACCGATATGCATCAAGCAACTGATCACCTCGTGTCCTGCAAGGACTGCACTCTCCTCATGCATGGCCGCCTCATGCCCTAAGTTGTGGGAAACAAGTTAGTCACACGTGAAACCCCTTACTTCAACTTCCTTCAACCCCAAGAAGCCCTGCAACCCCCAAGCCCCCCCGCCCCCCCCCATGCAAAATCCCCCCTCGGGTGTCTCACAGACATGCGCAAGATCTTCAAGCATGTGTAGAACTTGTCGCGCTCCATGGGCTCCTCGGGCGTATCCACTGGGTCAAGCTGCTTCTGGTTCGGAAGGCTTAGGCGAATGGGGTTTGGCCTAGCTGAGATGCTCATGATGCTCGCATGGGCACGAAGGGGGGCTGGTCCAGCTGATGCTCATGACGCCCGCGTGGTCGGGGGCAGCACTGGGCAAAGGGGGTAGATGGGCGGAGGAGCTTGGGCCACGATGTTGGGGGTTGGGGGTTGGGGGTGCGGGGGAGGCATGCTGTCGCATCATTCCTAACGATTCCAAAGCCCGAGCTACCTCCGGAACTGAGCAGCACATGCCAGAACGATCGTGGGCAAGTGGCGGGGTTAGCTGACACTGACCAAGAACAGCATACCCTAAGGTCAAGAAATCTGGCCAATCCCTGTTGACAACCCAGCCAAGGCATGTGCATCGAAGATGAAGATGATCCTCCGATCCGCCTTTGCAAGCGTTACGTGCAAGAGCCATGCAAGAGCCACATGCAAGAGCCATGCGAGAGTAATGTAAGAGCAAGTGTTGGTCGGGGCTCTTCGGTCTGGTGCTTGACTTGCGATTTCCAAGGGTCAGGGCCAACTGAACTTGCAGCTTGAGCGAGACCGTTCTTCCAAAGATTGAGGTGCTTGAGTGCCAAGATTCAGAGTTTCGTGTTAGTCACCTTGACTTGCCGGCATGCTGGCAAATACAGATCTTACCTTGGACACTGAGTCACTAAATGGATCTTGCCATGGCTGGTATCCGGGGGTTTACGAAAATAAGGGATCGATATGGACCAGGATCCTTTTGGAAAAAGGACCGAAAATAGGGTACCCCTAATTTCGGAAACCCAAAACCCTAAACCCGAAACCCTCAAACCCTCAAACCCTCAAACCCTCAAACCCTCAACCCTCAACCCTCAACCCTCAACCCTCAACCCTCAACCCTCAAACCCTCAACCCTCAACCCTCAACCCTAAACCCTAAACCCTAAACCGTAAACCGGATAAGAAGGTCTGGGGCCCCGGATAGACACTGGGGGCCCGGGCTCTCGTGGTGTCCAGGGCGACGCAGTGCTGGGCTAAGATACCTCCAGGGTTTAGGACTTAGGGTTTAGGGTTTAGGGTTTAGGATTTAGGGTTTAGGGTTTATAGAAATGGTATAGGGTTTGGGTCCCAATAACGTTTTGAGCGAAACGTTTTGAGCGAAACGTGTTGAGCGAAACGTGTTGAGCGAAACGTGTTGAGCGAAACGTTTCTTTTAGATAATAGATTTTCATTTATGGGGGGGGGGGGGGGGGGGGGGAGGGGGGGGGCAGAGGATTAAGTAAATTGAACTTGAGACTAGGGCTACGAAAGCTAGAAATGCGGCTGACAAGCAAGCTTTTTTCGATTCAGGCAGGAGAAGTGCGCGAGGCGCGCGCTGGCACAGCTGCTAGAGTAGGAAGGCTTAGGGTTTAGGGTTTAGCCACCTATGTTTCGCTCTATGGCTCGATCATGATCTACACTGATGGCTCGAGCTGCACCAGACCCAATCGGATCTCACAAAGCAACGCTGCAAACTCTGAACTGTAAGCAAAACGAAACATGATGGGACACGCAGCGGTCGCACTAAGAGCTGTCGGAAGCTGCGGATTCGAATGCTCATCCCGGGCCTTACAGCAGGGCCTGATTAAGACGGAGGGGGAAGCCTGAAAAGGAGGGGGGGGGCCCCCTCCCCCTCCCCAGAAATCAATTAAGGCGACCCTGAAAGGAGGGGGGGGGGGGGGGGGGGGACACCTTAAGATTGATTTTATCAATCCTATAAGGGGGGGGAGGGGGGGCCCCCCCCCCCTCCACAGCCCTTTATCTCTCTGATTTTCAGACCACTTAAGGGTCGGGGTCGCTTTTTGACCCAGCTGAACACTAGAGAGAATTCTTGTAAACGACAACTCTCGCGAGCTCCAAGGAGCTAGCTTTCGTGACATTTGGAATGCCAGGCGCTGTGGATGAATGTACTTCAACTCTGCTTGTCAAGTGTTTAGACAAATAACTAGGGAAAATTCCGGATGATACCACATAAAACTTCTATTCATTTTGTCTTGAGGGTTTTGGGTTTAGGGTTTAGGGTTTCGGCTTTCGGCTTTCGGCTTTCGGCTTTCGGGTTTAGGGTTTAGGGTTTAGGTTTTAGGGTTGAGGGTTTAGGGTTTAAGGTTTAGGGTTTAGGGTTTAAGGTTTAGGGTTTAGGGTTTAGGGTTTAGGGTTTAGGGTTTAGGGTTTAGGCCTCCATCACATGGGCCCCTCTCTCAAGGGCTGTATGGGCCCTTAATTTGGGTCTCATGTTCTACAACCCTTGTATACACTATACATACTAAGGGCCCATACTTCGGATCCCTTTAAATTCCTTTAAACAAGGGTCACGGACCATACTAAGGCCCCATAGTTCCAACCTTAGATTTTCTGGCTCTCAAGCGTGTTCAAACTTGGGCTTTCAGGCGCTTTCAGGCGCTTCCAGACGCGTTGTTCAAGGGGGATACGGTACACCTGGAAGCCGCCGGGCATTTGTCGCCTCCCTTACTGCAAAACCCTTGCAGACGCGGCAAACACCTATATGTCAATGGATGCATGTCAAGGGATGCTTCTGGCCTAGAGACGGAGCGTTCATGAGGACCTCGGGACCCTTGTAGATTCTGGCAAGGTCCTTCACGTTGAAGTCCTGCGCAGGGTTTGGGCCAAGCATTCCGGACCTTCCGGGTCTCAGACTGAATGAAGGGCTCAGGCTCGGTTCTTGAGGCTCAATGTTAGGATGGCGAGCACCTGAGAGGCCTTGAAAAATCTGAGGCGTGGTCACGAATGTCCGGGCTGACAGGCTGGAAAAGGCTCACGCACTTAACTCCCTTCATCCTCCCAGACCCCTCTTGAGAAGCTTTCCAAGGGTTCAGCCTGTGACAGCCGTGCAGACGTGGAAAGTTCAGGCCGGCCCCAGCACTTACTATCTTTTGCCCGGCCTTGCCGTGGGCAACTTGTTGACTTCTGACAAGTCCCAGCCAAGGCAGCTTCTCAAATGGAGAAACCATGCTCAAGGTTCTTCGGGTTTAGGATTGCCCATGGAGGTTCTGGAAAGGGCGCTCCAACCGCGCTTGGGAGCATCAAGAAGGGGGGCCGCTGGAAGACATTGCCAGGTCACATGGTGATGCAGAAGCGGGCAAACCGAAGACCCTTCAAAAATCCGAGGGGGGTGTGTATTGCTGATGCCTGGTGCCACCCCTAGTGTTTAGTGACATGCAAAGACCCCGCGAATCCGAAGTAAACAAATTCACGAAGAGCTTCGGTATAGGACTTTGGGTGTCGGATTTCTGAAGGAGCCCGCGAGCGAGCTTCACAGCAAAGGCAAAACCTCTGAAAACCCTGAACCCCAAACCCTAAACCCCAAAAGGAAACACAAAGGAGGGCTCCTGGACCGCCGAGTCCGCAGTGGAGCCATCTTTTGGCTTCAGGGAGAAGACCGTGAGGTATCGGTCCATCTGGGCAGGTATCCAAGGCGAATCTTGGCGAACATCTTATACTAACAGCCCTTAAGAGCGACCTTTTCCTACCCGCTATCCACGACCCCCCTCCTTCCTCCGTTGTGAGCTGTGGGCCCCCCCTCCCACTCAACCGCCAGGACGATGGCGCTGTGGCAGATGGAACTATCCATCAACAAACCGAACAAAAAACTAGCGATGGAACTGTGCAAGCGTACCACAGCAGCTCAGCACCAACAGCTGCCAGCCTGGAAGAAGTGTGGCGACTGCCGTGCGGTCTCCGGGTTCACCAGGCTCACTGGGATCCCACTTACCACCTGCCAAAGTGGCTTCAGAGAAAGCCCTAATCTACTCCTTGAAATGGCCTAGTGCTGCAATGTCAAGCACTGAAGGCTTTAACCGTGCTACCGTGGCGGAGACTCTGGGCTCCCATCCCTACTGTTATTATTGCTACGATGGCTACTGTTATAAAATGATGGTTACTTACATTGCTACTGCTACTAACGAAGTGGACATAATGGATCCTAAAGACGGAAACATCCTCACACGGACATCATGGAGCCCCCAAGCATCGCTTTCACTCCATCGCGCACATGGCAATGCCTCTCTGTAATGTTTACAGGGACGCCAAGCATTCTGTCATGATCTCTCAGAGTTGATGGAGTCAGCCAGCTCGATGTGAAGGTCGAGGTCTTCAGTCACAAAGTTCTCCGCGTCCATTAAAGACGTCAGGTGGTGAAATGCGTCAGCATTTGTCTGCTGGCGATTCTCGTCCAAGGACCACAGAATCACCATGTCCTCAAGCACTCTCTTGTGGAATCGAAGGAGCTTCTTTCGGTTTGTGGCTGTCGTTGATCGGACAGCACGAAGGGTTTCGACCAGCAGGGAGAGCCACCTCTGCCGCTCAGAGCTTTCCAGCACTCGAACGAAAGTCCGAAGATGACTGCTGCAGCCACGAACGCGACCAAAGACTTCCAAGAGCCCGCGATACTGTGATGGCAAGTCTCTCATGAGATCTCCTAGCAGATCCAGCATGCTTTCTGCGATTCGGCGCTGCACGAACGGAAGCCCACCGCGACCATATTTCAGAAGCATACTGTGCGCCGCCTTTGACACCTCCGCATCTGGGTGCCGGTTGGCTTCTAGCAACGCCCCGAGATGCTCATGCACAATGCTTTTGACGTCATTGTCGGCAAAGTGGGTTGTTGCGGCCCCTGCCCACGCGCGGCACCATGTCCGACCTCAGATGATGTTTCTGTATACTACTAGCCCCTGTTAGCTGAAGCAAGCTGGAAGGAAATTGGAGGAACAGGGATCTTGGAAGCTGTAATCTGGAGAGCAGCGACATTCCTAAACCCCCGAAACAGCCCAACGGAGCTATCCCCAAAAAACATCGACCAATTCGAGACATGCTGGAATTGCCCGCTCATACAATGCATGAATCTGCATCGCCTGACCAGCCATGCGCCCACTCCAACTGCATGATAAAAGCAGGTTTTGATCAAACCGAGAGGCACTGGTGCTCTTTCTTCTTCGCATCATCATCAGTTGCGCCCAAGTCGCCACGCAAGAGCTTCTCTTCTGCGCGCGCATAGTCCACAATCGACGAGGGCCTGCACAGCCGAAGCAGTGCGACAGGAAAGCAGCAGTGCTCGGAAACCCTCAGACTGCGCGGACAAGCCGTAGGTGCCTGTCCAACCGCCCCACCTCAGCCACATGAAGTATCAAGACCTCAGAGCAGGATCAGGCAGGATCGGCCCCCTACGCGGATCTCTTCTTCAGATGACCCTGCCTTGGGGCTCCTGGTTTGCCGCGATGTCAGGCGCCAAGCCAGTATGCTCCCCACCTGAGCAGCGACAATGTTCAAGATCTCCCAGTGCTGGGACATGTTCAACAGGGTTTAGGGTTTAGGGTTTAGGACTAAAGTGAGGGGACTGGCTGATGCTTCCAACACAAGCTAACCGATGTCTGACCTCTCACGAAACCTGCAAACCCAAAAAGAAGAGGTTGAGCTGGACGATGTTCTACCTGTCAGACGTTCTCCTTCGTTTAGCGCTAGCCGTTAGCCCTGGTCGTAGTAGACACCGAGGAGCGGAGAGGTACGGCAAAAGATCGGGCCTGAGGCTTGTGTCGCTCTCACCATGGTCAAATACGCTTTGCTTGTTGCCTGGAGACCCTTCCTGGAAGAAACAAGATAAAGGAACACCGAGGCACCAAAAGAGCCGGCGGGGATCCCAATCGTGACCGCCAGCCTTAGGCTGCACGAATGCCGGCTTGAGGCCCTGCAGTCACTCTAGTCATCCTGCCCAGGAGCAATCAACGGGTCGCGCATCGCCAAGTTCGGAGGGACCCGCCTCGGCCTTCGTGTGGCCGCCACAATGCGCTCGTCAGGGTTCCGCCTCGGCCTTCGTGTGGCCGCCATAGGGGGTGGCGGTGGTGAATGACGGCCTGACGGTCTGCGCTCATCAGGGTGCCTCGGCCTTCGCGTCGCGTGGGGTAGCACAGGGGGAGGAGGAGGACAGCGAGGCAGCGAGTTCGAGGGGTCCCCCCTTTGCGCGGGCGCTACAGGGGAAGGAGGCGGAGAACTTGGAGGGTCCCCCCTCGGTCTTCGCGTGGGCGGCACAGGGGGAGGAGGTGGCGAAAGCTGGCCGCGGTCATCTTGCCCAGGATGCAGCGATGGAGCGCCCATCGCTGTGGCATCCTGCTTGGCTCTTTTCTCAGCACGCAACAACAAGCAAGAACTGCACGCCTAATGGTTGGAGGTGCGGCGGTCCTGACGGTCTGGCTGAAGTGCCCTCTCGCAAACGTGCGAGGAGGAGGCTGACTGCGTTCCATGCCTCAATAGCAATGGAACACAAGCTAAAGGCAGGTCGCTCGGGTCTCGGCCACGAAGGTTGGAGTGCTTGAGCGCTGCTCCTGATTTCATGGCAGCACACCGCCTGCGTCCACTGACGGCTCGCTCCACCAGTGTGAGAAGTGGCAACGGTTGCTCCTACAAATTAAGCCAAGTCAGGATGCCTGGTTTGGGTCCGCATCCTCTGTCTGGCACTTCCTGGGCAATTCAACTTGGAAGCCAAAATTTTTCACATCTGTCGCAATTCAGCAATGAATCTGCAACTTGCAGTAATGCACAGTCAGGTGGACTGACAATTTGACGCTGTTTTCAACGGGATGTTAAGAAACTAGCCATTCCTGCGATGAGAAACTTCGAAATGGCCACGATGTCATGACAAAATATGCTGTTCCGCTGCTCACACGGCTTTCTTGGCTCAAGGATTTGGTCTGGTTCTTCAGCCAGGAACTGCTTTACGTGGTTACAATGTCAGCACAAGGCGTCCTGTCACTCGTGTCCATGCGTCGCTCCCACTTTACTTCGGTCCTCGGCCACAGAGCCAGATCACTCTTCCAGAGCAGCTCTCAAGCAGAGCACAGAATTCTCAGGCTGCCGCGTGGTCTCTCGAGCTTCAATGCCCCCTTGCTTCCTGCATGTTTTTCTCAAGAACAAAAAGGGTCATGCAGCCGCACAGGAAGAGAAGAAGGCCGAACTCCTGGACGCAACCTTCTCCAGCTCCACACTGCAAGTTGGTCGGATACCGAGCTGAGTTGCTCGGCCACAGCTTCCTCAAGGAACCGTTGCAGCTTGGGCTCAACGAGCTCAACGACAGAAACTGCTTTGCGTCTACCGTAAGCCCCTGCCAAGCATGACGTCCCTTTGCGACAACTCGGTCTATATGCGTCCTAGAGATCTTCAAACCTAAGACCGAGCCGCTATCATCATCTGAGACCACTGTCTACCACTTGTGCTAACAAAACACGACTGACCGCAGGGCCTTCTCGGCTTCAGCTTGGGCCAGGAGCTTCTCCGCGCTCGCTGCGCGGTCATTCAGGGTCGTCACCATCTCGGACCAACCTGCAAAGACTCTGCCCATACGCTAAAGGTTCCTCGCAGATGGGTACGATGTTGTCCTCTAGGTAAGGCCTCACAGGGTATCCAGGACTTAGGATTCAGAGCTTAGAGTTCGATCGGGGGTGAGGGTGTGGGATCCTTGAGTCCAAGTTTAGGACCTATAGGGCTTAGGGTATCCAAAGCACTGAAGCCCGGCACACTGCCTTGAATTTGGATTTTCTTACCTACTCTTATTGTTGCTATTATTGTTGCTACAGTGAGCTTGCTGCTTGGGCCAAGGCATTTAGGATTGGAGTTGGCAATGGAGGCCTTCTGCTGAGTTGTTGTATGTGTGCCTTGAATTTAGGATTCTCTGGACTGCTTCCATGTAACTGACAACATGGTTTTTCAAAAGCCCAAGAGATGTCTTGTAGGAAAGCATGGCAGGGTGACTGACATCCACACTACTCACGCTGCATCACAGTTTGCAGAATTCCGTCTGGGCACGAATCTTGCCAGCTGCAATCTCGTCCATCAGCTCCTTCTCACGTTGTTTGGCTGCCTCGGCAAGCATTGCGCGGACCCTAAACCCTCAACCCTGGCACATCATGACCTTGCCCAATCATCTCCGGCGGCCTCCGCCTCTTCAGCTTTGTGGCGAAGTAGTTGGCCATGCGATTCCTACCACAGAGGCAGTTACCAATCTACTAAAGACCGAGCCGTCATTGCAAGCTATCATCATCTGAGACCACTGTTTACCACTTGTGCCAACAAAACACGACTGACCGCAGGGCCTTCTCGGCTTCAGCTTGGGCCAGGAGCTTCTCCGCGCTCGCTGCGCGGTCATTCAGGGTCGTCACCATCTCAGACCAACCTGCGAAGACTCTGCCCATACGCTAAAGGTTCCTCGCAGATGGGTACGATTTTGACCTCTAGGTAAGGCCTCACAGGGGATCCAGGACTTAGGATTCAGAGCTTCGGGTTCTGAGGGTGTGGGATCCTTGAGTCCAAGAAGACTCTGCCCATACGCTAAAGGTTCCTCGCAGATGGGTACGATTTTGACCTCTAGGTAAGGCCTCACAGGGGATCCAGGACTTAGGATTCAGAGCTTCGGGTTCGATTGGGGGTGAGGGTGTGGGATCCTTGAGTCCAAGTTTGGGACTTATAGGGCTTAGGGTATCCAAAGCACTAAGCCCGGCACACTGCCTTGAATTTGGATTTTCTTACTACTACTATTGTACTTGTCTACTACTACTCTTGTTGTTGTTATTATTGTTGCTACAGTGAGCTTGCTGCTTGGGCCAAGGCATTTAGGATTGGAGTTGGCAATGGAGGCCTTCTGCTGAGTTGTTGTATGTGTGCTTTGAATTTAGGATTCTCTGGACTGCTTCCATGTAACTGACAACATGGTTTTTCAAAAGCCCGAGAGATGTCTTGTAGGAAAGCATGGCAGGGTGACTGACATCCACACTACTCACGCTGCATCACAGTTTGCAGAATTCCGTCTGGGCACGAATCTTGCCAGCTGCAAACTCGTCCATCAGCTCCTTCTCACGTTGTTTGGCTGCCTCGGCCAGCATTGTGCGGACCCTAAACCCTAAACCCTAAACCCTAAACCCTAAACCCTAGCACATCATGACCTTGCCCAATCATTTTGGCGGCCTCCGCCTCTTCAGCTTTGTGTCGAAGTAGTTGGCCATGCGATTCCTACCACAGAGGCAGTTACCAATCTACTAAAGACCGAGCCGTCATTGCAAGCTATCATCATCTGAGCCCTGCGGTCAGTCGTGTTTTGTTAGCACAAGTGGTAGACAGTGGTCTCAGATGATGATAGCGGCTCGGTCTTAAGTTTGAAGATCTCTAGGACGCATATAGTCCGAGCTGCCGCAAAGGGATGTCACGCTTGGCAGGGGCTTACGGTAGACGCAAAGCAGTTTCTGTCGTTGAGCTCGTTGAGCCCAAGCTGCAACGGTTCCTTGAGGAAGCTGTGGCCGAGCAACTCAGCTCGGTATCCGACCAACTTGCGGAGCTGCAGCGCAGTGTGGAGCTGGAGAAGGTTGCGTCCAGGAGTTCGGCCTTCTTCTCTTCCTGTGCGGCTGCATGACCCTTTTTGTTCTTGAGAAAAACATGCAGGAAGCAAGGGGGCATTGAAGCTCGAGAGACCACGCGGCAGCCTGAGAATTCTGTGCTCTGCTTGAGAGCTGCTCTGGAAGAGTGATCTGGCTCTGTGGCCGAGGACCGAAGTAAAGTGGGAGCGACGCATGGACACGAGTGACAGGACGCCTTGTGCTGACATTGTAACCACGTAAAGCAGTTCCTGGCTGAAGAACCAGACCAAATCCTTGAGCCAAGAAAGCCGTGTGAGCAGCGGAACAGCAGATTTTGTCATGACATCGTGGCCATTTCGAAGTTTCTCATCGCAGGAATGGCTAGTTTCTTAACATCCCGTTGAAAACAGCGTCAAATTGTCAGTCCACCTGACTGTGCATTACTGCAAGTTGCAGATTCATTGCTGAATTGCGACAGATGTGAAAAATTTTGGCTTCCAAGTTGAATTGCCCAGGAAGTGCCAGACAGAGGATGCGGACCCAAACCAGGCATCCTGACTTGGCTTAATTTGTAGGAGCAACCGTTGCCACTTCTCACACTAGTGGAGCGAGCCGTCAGTGGACGCAGGCGGTGTGCTGCCATGAAATCAGGAGCAGCGCTCAAGCACTCCAACCTTCGTGGCCGAGACCGAGCGACCTGCCTTTAGCTTGTGTTCCATGCCCTTCTTGTTCAAGCACTTGCTATTGAGGCATGGAACGCAGTCAGCCTCCTCCTCGCACGTTTGCGAGAGGGCACTTCAGCCAGACCGTCAGGACCGCCGCACCTCCAAGGCATTTTTTAGGGTTTAGGGTTTAGGGTTTAGGGTTGCTAATCTACTACATCATGGGAACGGCACCCACAAGTTTCCGTAAGCCCGCGCAACTGGGTGAACACAACAACCTGGCGGTCCTTGTAGGATTCCAGTCTGGCCACTAGGTTGCGAAAAGCAGTCTCTGACCTGATCGTCTGATAGCACCGCAGAGTTTGCCATGGCATCATGTTAAACTGCATAAGAGCGGGGGATTGCGAGGGAATTTAGGGATTTAGGAATACGAGGGAATAATACGGGTTTAGGAAGGATTCGACGGTACGTGGGGGTCATGCCCAGCGGCTGGGTCTTCCGCAATTCGTACGCTTCCTCGAGCTTGGTATAATGCCACTGCCACCAGCAGCACCTGGTTCTACAAAAGTGTTATGTTCTGCTCTGGCTGACTTGTGCACAAGGCACTAAACAAGCAAGAAGGCCGAGGAGCTGGTTCACAAGCTCAGCATTCTCTTCTGCAAGCCTGCGTTCCGGCGGGGCGAGTGTATGTTGCAAATGACGTTTCGCCGAGCCATCGCCCCCATAAATGCTCCCTGCAGCCACATCAGGCCAAGGTGCTTCGCCACATAGCCAGGCCAGTAGTAGCAGGCTCCGGGTGGCCATTGCTCAGCACTCTCTGGCAACATGGTTCTTCACTCAACCCACTCCACAGGAACGACTTACCGTATCACCCCTCACACGGCAAACACCAAAAAAAAACTCCTCCTAAGGATGAGCAGGCATTGTGAGCATTTCCCTCCAACCCTTCATCTGATCCTTGTGCGTTGTCTCCTCTGGATTTGGGCATGCGGTGTCGGCGGTGTCATGGGCTGCTACATTGGTCTTGCTGTGCTTTCTGACGATGATGGTGATGATGGTGAGGGTCTGGGCGGAGCTGGTGATGGCGAGGGTAATGACGATGATGATGATGATGATGATGATGATGATGATGATGATGATGATGATGATGATGACGATGACGATGACGATGACGATGACGATGACGATGACGATGCACTCTTTGTTCAGGTGTCAGAATGTTTAAAGGTGCTTGGAGAAGGTGGCAGGCAAAATGAACGTGCTCTAGACTATCTTCTCCATGTAAGAGCATTTGCCAACAGTAGAAGCTGCAAGGCTGTGGTTAACTCCTCAAACTCACATGGGGCCGCGCTCGCAAGCGCTCAGTGCAGCGCCAGTGGCCACAACATGTCTCTGCAGGTGGCTCTGGGCGCCGCTGGAAATATAAGGATAAGATCTGCTTCCAGATACACCCTAAATATTGCGCTCTTGGGGAGTGGCTAAGGTTTGCATCTGAGGCCGTCGCCACAAACTAAGGCAAAACCCTTGCTCTTGTCTTCCAGTGGTATCGCCAGGGTTGAAGACTACAAAGGCAGAGCCCAGAGCACGACAGAGCTCGACAGAGCACGACAGAGCACGACAGCCTCCTTCGCGAAGTCCTTGACCAACCGCTGCAGTCGGCCTTTTTCCTTCTCCTGGCACTTCAGAGGCCACTTGTCGGAGGTCCCATCTGACTGGACTTTGGGGAGCTGGAACTGGTGGTGCGCAGGTGGACGCGCAGCTTTCGAGCTGCATGAATGTCAAAAAAGAACTCCCAAAACTGACAGGCCAATGAACAAACGTTGAACACAACCCTTGAAACTCTGGGGTTGGGATACTACAACTGAGAGGTTGAAACCCAACCATGAGGCCCCGAACTTCGGGCGTGGGCCCTCTGATTTCTTACGGGTTGACAGGTAATTTTGGGTAACGTGGGAAATCTGCAAGAAGCTCACAACGAAGCTCGTTACTTTTCACTCCGGAGATCGTGCAGATCAGGCCAAGTCGGCTCGCCTCAGGCGAGGTTAAAGCTGGGGCGAGACTTGGCAGAGGATCTCCAGCTGAAAGAAGTCTGCAAGGAGAGACAAGGCCCAGGCCCACAGAAGTACCGAGAAAGCAACCGAATGTGGCAGTCTCGAACCCTGGACCTAGACAGGGCCTTGCAAACCAAAAACCCTCAAAATGGTCCAAACACCCTTGTTTACTATGTACTCTTGCAAGCCCGTCATTCCCCCGTTTAGGCTTCGACATCCTCAGTTTTGGCGCTTGTGGGCCCTGGGCCATGCAGCGCGTCTTTGCTCTCAAGCTCGATGCGCGGACAGTCCGACGCAGGCAGGGGCCTCCTTCCAGGTACGTCTCATTCCGCAAACCACCAGGGAAGGTAAAGGCGTAGGTTGACATCTGGTCTGTTTTCAAGGTTAAGGTCCTGTATTTGGGTACCCTGCATATGAGGGGCCGCCTTGTGATAGTGAGCCCAAAAGGGACCATAAGGTGGAGAAATGACCGTCTATGTTTAACCTCCCTCGTATTCTAGCCCCGGGTCTGCTGTCTCCAACCTCTTCATGCGGCATATGTTGCAACCTCCTCACCCACATTTCTTCACACCCCTGAGTGGCCTCTGCCCTTCTTTCCCCCCCTGCCTTTTCTCCCTGAAACGCCTAACCCCTAAGCCCTAAACCTAAACCCCGAACCCCCTAAATCCTAAACCCTAAACCCTAAACACTAAACCCCTAACCCCCTAAATCCTAAACCGTGAACCCTGAACCCTGAACCCCTGAACCCTAAGGCCCACCTAGGTTCTGCTCCGTGTCTCCCTGGGTTTACTAAGGGATTCGAGAGGCAGTTGTGGTCTCAATATATCTCCAGTAGGATTCCAAGGAAGCCAAAGAACAAGAACCATGCCACGACCTCTGAGACCCTTGAACTCATGAAGTCAAAACTCCCACCACAGGACCCCACAGAGAATGCTATGTTCAACCTTGACAACACGAGTCGCGTAAGAAACGGATTCTAGACCATGTGCTTTTCTGTCAGGGTTGCCAAACCCCCGACCAGAAAGAATGCGCATCATGCGAGGAGGCGTCGGCTAAAGCAAAGTCGCTCAAGAGCCCTTCCCGCGCAGGACTGTGATCATACAGTGGTTCGGACATCCCGTTTCGGGGTTCAGGGGGCTGTCGAATACGGGTTAAGTCTTGGAAAAACCGAATCGGGCTGCAAGTACGACTCCAGGAGCCAAAACCAGGTTGCACCTCTACACGTTTCCATAGAGTAGTGTGAGGTAAGGACGCAGAAATTGTGGGTAGGGATGCGAGCCCGGAGATTGTGCAGGACTGTGTCGGTGAATGGCCATATCGTCACTGTAGTCTGATTATCTTGGACGCACGTTAGGCTTGGACCATGAATTCTCCCCGCGACGTTGGCTTCAGAACAACTTCACACAGGCTACATAGTGACCTTTCTGTTGAATGCTTAGCCTAGCAACTCCGCTCCTTAACCACCGAATCTCTCCGAAGAAGATGTCCATACTCCAGGCGACTGTGGCAATGCTTCTGCATTGGAACACAAGCCACAAGTCCCAGGAAAGCACGGGTTGTCCGGCTTTTCAAACGTGGATTCATGTTCAGGGTCCTTCAGTCTGGAGAGGGGATTTGAGTTCAGGACTCCGCCGGATCACCCCACCCTGGATAAATGATCCGAGCCAGAAACTACCCTGCTGAGAATTGAGGCCGGAAGTGTTATAGTCTGTTCCGTCTGGACGGACTTGTCCGGGGAGCTCGGGATCAGAGCGCTCATGCCAGCACTGGGTTGCAGGGCCTAGGGGGTTCATGCTCCAGCATAGGAGAACATGAAATCCTCAATTGTGATTCTTGCGCTTGAGTGTTTCGGAGTCTAGGATCAAGACCCATACTAAGAAGCCCTAAACCGAGCCCTGTGCGGCACTAACATCTTTCAGCAGGGAGCATCGTAGCTTAGCACCCTACCCAAACTTCTCAGATTCCTAGTACCCTACTCTATCTCTCAGATGCCACATTTGCAGAATTTTGCAGAACTCCAAGAAAGAGCGCAGCATCCACAGGAGCCTCCAAGACCGAATGTCCGAAGCAGTGGGAGTCCGAGCGCCCTACGCAAGACTGACTTTTTCACGGCATCACGGGCGCACACAGAGGCACGCACGATTGCTAGACCCAGGATCCTGGCAAAATCCCACATGCTCCAGGTCTACAGGGAATGCTGTTCCGGCAAGAGATATTGTTGTAGTACCTCATTTGCAAAGGAGGAATACTGGAGGAATGGCATGAAGAGGCCCCAGCCCTTAGATGCTAGAAAGGCCGCAGGCACAGGAAATCTCCACCTCTTCAGACAATCGCGGCGAGAGCCCAGGGCGCTTTAGACGAGCGCTCAAGTCGGCTTCGAGTGCTTAGGCTTAGGCCGCTAGCTTCCGGGGACTTCGAGGCATGGAGGCTCTGCTGCCGAGATACGACAACCCTAAGCTGTCCTGCCATGAATGGCGATGCAAGGCTGCTTGTGATAGCGTGGGGGACTCAGGATTCCTGGATCCTGCCCCCAAAACCAGTACTAAGGCTTCGCGGATGCTCATGTTGTGGTGGAGATGTAGGTTCGGGGCAGATGTAGATTCAGAGCTAGGGGAGCCGAAGCAGTGCTAAAGCATCCTGGGTCTCATATCGCCAAGTATACACAGCAGGGTTATGCAAGGATCAGGGGCGGCACCACGCCAGTGCCAGAAAAGAGTCAGAGCAACTTCCACTCTCCTGGGCTCAGCCTGCTAGCGCATTTGAGGAGAGGACCTAAAGAGGACCCAAACTTTCAACTCGAATTTAGGATCCTCTCTCCTCTTAAAGTGCGGTGCACAGCACTGCTCTGCTCTTCCCCGGCGTCCTACAACCGTCTCGTTAGTAAATTCCACAGCACATGGGGGATTTCTCACAAGGAGAAATCCCCGGAGTACACCCTGCTCCATGCTTTCAGTCGGGTGTGCGCTCAGGCCTTGCACTTGCTACGAGAGCCTTCCTGCGGTTAAAATGCACACAGGCGGAGCACGACGCCGTGGTCAGAGCTGCGGTGGAGCATGCAGAGGTCTATGATGGTCTATGGCTTTCTTCTTGTTTGCCAGCTTTGAAGATTGTCTGCCGCCACATGGTCTTAGTGAATCAGAGTTCCGGGCGAGGTGGTTTGGCCTCCAATGTTCAAGGATCTGTTGAGCGTGAAACCCAGATGCCTTCGGGGCCTTCGAGGCCTTGGGGCCTTTAGGGCCTTTAGGGCCTGTAATGTTGCACTCGGTTTAGTGAGAAGGGGCACTATTATGCGATGTTCTGGAAATCTTATAGGGGACCCCCCATTCTTTAGGGTGGTCCTCAATTATGCGACGTTTGCCCGGCCGGGGTTGCCGGTTAGGGGAAGAAAAGGTTATTTGGGTATCCGAGCTGGTTGACTTAGAGAGAACAAAAGGAAGCTGAAGGCTGGTTTCTTTCATCTCCGCTGATGCAGATGTTGTTAGGTCTGTGCCCTCAGGGCACGAGTGCTATTCAGGATCCCCCAAACCCCCAAAATTGTTGGGGCGGGGGGGGGGGGGGGCCCGCACTAAACGTCCAACATTACGGCCTTTAGGGTCTTTGGGACCTTTGGGGCCTTTGGGGCCTTTGGGATCGACTCGATGCAGCCCGGGAGATGTCGGCAAGGACTCGCCTGCCCTGTCTTCGAAGCCCGGCCGCGCCGTGTGCAACTGGAGTTTGGCGCCAAGACCACCCACAATCCGCCCAGTCTCAGGGGGCTGGGGGTTCAAGGGTTTTGGGCTTCGGGTTTAGGGTTTAGGGTTTGGGGCTTAGGGTGGGGATGACAAGAGAGAGTCCCTCAACCAGAAGCTTCAGACGAACTTGGATCCTTCCCTGCCCGTCCCTGCCCTGATGCCGGATGGGTCTCTAAAACTCCCAGAGCAAAAACTCAGAGCGGGAAAAGTTTTGGGAGGGTAGCAACTAGACGTGAGCATCACAAAGCGGGCAAAAGTGGATACATCCCTCATGCTTAACGGGCTATGACTGGGCTGTGGTGGTTTCAGGGTTCGTGTCCCTCTCTTTGTCCGGATCTTCGGCTAAGGGGCTTCGCGTGCGGACATCCTTTTAGGGGGCATGGACTCAATCAAAGCATCTTTCACACTTAAAGCTAGCAGGTTGAGCATGCAGGCTTCCTCAAACAACGTGGCCAGGCTGATGGATGGCACTTGACGTGCAAGATTGGAGTGGCCCCCCCGAAGCAGCCACGACTCATCGCAATCTGCGCACCCTGATGACTAGTATGGTGGACATTCGAAGGCTTGACAGATCCAGAAAATGTCACTGCCCGATCGTCAGCAGGACAAACTACTCCAAACATACTCCTCAACCCTACACTTAACAGTCCTAAACCCTGGGGAGCGTCTCTCTTGGCCATCGTAGTTACATCTTTTCGGACACTTTAAGGGGGGTTGGGATTGCAAGGTTTTAGGGCTCAGGCTCTAAGATATGGGTTTTCAGCTCAGTGTGCGAAAGTTGAAGCACTGCATTTGCCAGAAGCCTCAACCTCCAGCCGGCCAAATGCGAACCCTAACCCAAATGTGACCCTAACCCGGAGCCCCACTAAACCCAAGTACCCTCACTAACCG